ACGCCAAAGATAAGAAAAAGAAAGCTTTCAAAAAAAAGGAAAAAATTCCGATTAATAGTGAACAAGGAAATCTGAAATCAGAAGTTTTGAATTCTAAGTTTAAGGTTTTTTTTAGTTTTTATATAAAATCATAACCCAATGTTCTAAAATCAAATTTGTCCGAATTCCCCGAGTTTTCTTGGGAAAAAAATGACAAAGTTAAAAAAGATCCCTGTTAATTTTGTCTATCAAATTGAAAATACAATATTCGTTTTTAAAAAAGACATTTCGTTTAATATTTCATCGTTGAATTTAAAAGAGAAAAGTTTTTGCAAAGAACTATTTATTAAATACAAGATAATGAATAATTTAATTATTGAAGGATTTTATAATTATGATAAATATTCTATGTACGTATTGAGAATTGATTGGTGTCGTCTATTTTTGCATAATTTAGCACATTTTTGTAAAACTATATCTTCAAAATACAGGATTAGATGAAACTGTAAAGACGAATTGAAACTTTTAAGATATGACAATTCTAAGCTTTAATCAAGGTTATAATGCAAGAAAAGTTATTTCAGAGGTGTACGCATCTTTTGTACTGCAGTGTACTGTCTCTGGGCGGTAATGTAAACACAAGACGCATGTCGAAGCCTGACATGGGATCCATCTTTCACATATAAAATCATTGAAATATTCTGGTCATAGGAAACTAATATGTGAATTATCAAAATTATCAAAAAATGCTGTTAACCTCCAATTGGATACTAAACGAACACTGATGCATCTATTCTTGTTTACAAATTCCGCCCATAGAGAACTGGTTTCAATATGTAAGCAGAGTATACGCAACTGCAATTAACTATCCTTGCATTATAACCATGGCTTTAACTATGTCTTCTGCTATGAAAATGGTCTTTAAAAAATGATTTGGCAAAAAAAGAAACAAGTTTAAGGTTGCAGTGAATCATATTCATGAATATAAGGAATGACAATATAAATTCCGAAGTCTCATTCTTTGTGGGTAACCCTGTACCTAAACAACTTTATACAATACATGGTTCTATATCTTTGTGTGAGAATAAATATTTGTAAGAAAAACAAAAAAATGAAGGATGAGGAAAATACTCGAAAGTCAGAATTAAAGTTACGAATAGTATATTATATTAATGAATATTCTCACAAAATAAATTCAGACGTACCTTTGATCAGATCATTTTTGAATTAATTACACAAGAGTTTTAATTAACATAATAAACTTGTTTTGATTGTAACGAAAACGAAAATGGGTTAAACCCCTTAGTTCAATTGAATTCATTATTTCAGGGGTACCTACCAATAATAAGATTTTACAAAAAAAAATCTGTTTTATTGTCCAATTATTTCAGCGGTTTGCTACTTTACTTTATTCTAAATATTCTGCATCTTATTAACTTAAAAAGTAAAATGTAATTTACTAACTTGAAAACCCGGCTTTGTCTGAGACAAATCGGTCAATGGGTGCCCGAGTTGAGATCGGACATGAGATTAAATCTTTTAATCATTTGTTACAATGCGCGAATTTTCAAATTGAAATGTAAACTTTCTGCCAGGCAGGTTCAGACCTTGAAAACGGAAGGAACTGCATTTCAGTGCATTCAACTGCACAAACTGAAGGATAAATACACACAGAGGACTTTAACTAATTTACCGCTACTTACATACGCATAGATACAGTAGTGTACAAAATACAGGAACTTGAAAATACTCTTTTACCTTTGAAGCTTTGTATCAAAAAAAAAATTTAACACAAAAGACTTTTGAACTTTTAAGAAAGTAGATCTCACGGTATAGCTCATTTTGAGGGTAACTTAAAAATTCAGTTTTTTATTGTTAATTTTGATCAAAATTAAAAGCAGCACTTTTCCTTTTTTGCATTGGTTCACACGTCACAGGAGGGCGTTTTAAAAAAAGATTGAGAGGTTGCGTGATTTGGATAAATGGCTCTGAAGTCTCATCCTTTGTGAGTAAACCTCTACTTATTTCCTACTTCTATGGTTCTGTTTTGCTTACATGATCGAAAGTTTGCAAGCTCTCGCGCATACAGTGATAAGAATTTTGCCAATAAATACTTTAAAAAGTATGCTTTAAGATTTTAAAATGCACAAGTCCGGGGCTACAATAAAGTTTAATAGAGCAAGTAATGTAAAGCTAAAGTGAATTGGGCGTTACTACACTTTAAAGTCATCCAGAGTGTTAAAAATGTATGCTATCACTATGCTATTATTGCTATTATTGCTATTATTGCTATTACTATGAGTTTTCCCAGCTCTAAATGTTAGTTTTCACATACAAGAAGTATCCAATATTCCCAAGGGGGTGATTTTTCAAGATCTGGGAGAAATCCGAAAAATTAAACATCTACTTTTTACACTCTTTAATACTTAGTTTTCACATGAAATATTGTTCGTTTTCCCAAAGAACAAAATAATATTTGATCAGAGGAATAATTCTTCAGTAAAATATACGAATATATATTCAAATTTAATGATTTCATCCTAAACTAAATATGTTTTTTTTTGTCTCAACATTATTCTTGTAGTTACGCTTTAAATTCAACAACACGTGAAGGTAAAATTTGGCTTTAAATATACCCTTTCAATCATATAACAGATGATTTTGCAAAAATGGAAACAACGTGTATAAGAAAAAAGCTTGATAATTTTCAAACAGTCGTCTATAAAGTCTTATTCTTTAATTGATAAAACTATAAAAAAAACTTATTTTTTTGTGGGTAACCCTGTATGTAGGTCTAATTGAACAGAATCTTCATTTTTGAGAAACTAACAATTTTATCTTTTTTTGAAGATCTATCGATAATCAGACATAGAGGATAAAATCAATATTTCAGTTATTAAGTTTTTGAAGATCTATCGATAATTGGACTATTCATTCAATTATTACCCCTCTAATAATACATATCATAATCCACCCCTGTTCGCCTAAATACAATTTGGTATGGTTACATTTCGTATATTGAAAACTATGAATATTTAGCTGGGAAAATTGCGAACCATTTTAAGAAAATCCGCAAAGTTACAAAAACTTCAAACATGGCTCTGATATTACTTACTAAGTCTACTCGTGAAAAGGTTGCCATGATTGTTAAGAACTATCATGAACAAACCCTAAATTGTACCAGAAAGGAACCGATTTATTTTAATCCCTTTATCTTTGCAACCCGGTGGCGTAGACCTTTGATATTTCAAATAATGAATCATGCTTTGATAAATAGTCAAAGTTTGAAATATCAAAGGTTTCAACCATCAGGTTGCAAAGATATAGGGTTTAGAAAATTTGGCTGTTTGGCAAAAACTTAATTCCTTTGTTTAAATATTGGTCTGTGATAACAGAATAGTCTGGCATTCTGTATAGCCAAGAACAAACTTCAAATATCTGATATATTGTTTAAAAATGTAAATATCTTAAATAGCTGATATTTGATGTTTCATTTATTTATAATTTAAATAACATTTTTACGAAAAATTAGCGCATAAGAAATGTTTCCTTTATAAGATGTTATTTATACGAAAAATTATCGTATAAGAAATATAATGTTACCTATACAAGATGTCATTTATACGAAAATACTACCTTATACAAAGTGTTCTATAGGAAAATGAACCTAGATATGAAAATGTACTATATAAAATGTTACCTTATACAAATTTACTTCTTTCGTCCAAAAACTTTAACAATATGAATTAACATAATATCTAGCGTTATAAATAATTATTTCTTATCTATACCTATCTAAGGAGCCTTTTTTATAAATTGTTCAACATGTTTCAACAAAATGTTCACACTGAAATAGAGATTCGGGATTTTTAGGCTTTCAGGAGACTCCAGAAGAAATTTAAAATGTGTTTATTCTCTAAAAATTTGCTTTTAATACACTGTGCAAAATCTTATCTCTGGCAGTAGATATATATAGCCTGCAGAGGTGATCTTTAATGTTGGATTTTGAGATCAATGATTGATCCTCTCTTTTTTGCTAATATTAAGACTAATTTTGTCTTTAGGTTAATATCTATAGAGATTAAAGATGCGCTCTTTAACTTTTTAATTTTTTCGCATTTCTGGTGTTAATGGTGTCATATCAATGAAACTAATGATTGATTGAACGAGTGTAAGTTTTGGATTAATATGTTTATGAAGACTAACGTTCAAAGGCTTTAGTCCTAAAATGTGATAAGATAATTTTTTAATAAGTTCATATTAACATGATTAAATTTAACTTTGTTTAAATGCTCTAAAGCCGGCTTGCATGAATCAATCAGATATTAGTCCAATCGATATAGCATCGTATCTGTAATTGTTATCAAATGTAACTTTTATACAGTAGGGGTATCTGAAAGAGAGGATAAGAGGAAAATCAAAAGTGTGTATACATTGGTTAATCAGATTAAGCGATCGTGATTAAGGATATCTCATTCTGATTTTAAAAATCGTCTCGTAGCAATAATTAACGGTGGGCAATCTCAGTTTTTTTTCAAGCCTTTCGTTAATTAACAGTTAGTTAAAATCGTTATAAAAACAACTTTTGGTTTGGTGTAGCCGTGCAGCTCAGTTTTGAAAACTTTAGAATTATGGATATCGATATGAATGCTTGATCTTCTCCTTTTATTAATCAGAAGACTAATTAAGTCTTACGTTAATATATCCGGGAAATTTTCTATACTTCCACAAAAAAGGTGTCGTTTGTAAAAACCAAACAGCCAATCAGAAGCCGAGAAATGTCAAAATTTTGGAGCGCAATTAACTAGGGAAATCTTATTGGTTTGAAGACAGCGGGATATCCAAAATAGATGATTAGGAAGACAATCAAAAGTGTATACTAGAGTTTTTGCTCAAATGGAAGAGCAACATTATATTTGGATTTTATAAGCTCTATGGCATGGGTAGTCAATAAAGTCTTCTTTTACCTCACCTTCATTTTTCTAGGAGATAATATTTATATAGAGATAAAAATAGGTTCTGATGAAGTTTATAATTTGTCTAATCCTGAGAGCAGAGGCCACTTGTGGAAGAATCCCACAATTGGAAACATATTTTCAAAGATTGAATACAGCAATCTAAAAACTTTAAACATGAATTTTTCAAACAATCAATCTCAAGAAAGCAGTCTGGTACCAAATGTAACCAACCCCCAAAATGTTGAAAGTTTCAAACCAAACTTTATAGTTTTCAACTATATGTTGATCCTCCTTCTAGTATCTAACCTTAGCTCAGCTGGTATCCGGGGATACAGGAGATCCTTACCCTACCTACGCATCAACATCATCCTTATCCTCAACTACTACCTAGTCGAGACCTTCAACACAGCTGTCTCTATTGTGGTAAATTCAAGATAGCAAAACTTTAAGACAGATTCCTCTTTCTTGATAATTAGAAAATTCAATTCAAGATATGCATGCTCTTGCGCAAAAATCAAGCAGTATTTTTCCGATTATTTCCTTTTAAACGTAGGCTAACTAAAATGTTTATGCCTAGGGCTACAAAAAAGTATAAGTAAGTTGGTGAGGTAAAACCAAAGGCCAAGGGAATGCGAGATTGTCTAAAAAATTTTATTTTTAATTATAAGCGTAATTTCAAGTGAACCTTGATGTAAAGATGACAGAGCCCGATTAACAACAGTACCCTTAAAAGCTTTGTCTGAATTGGATACCAATGTTCATAATTTTTTAGTATCATTATTTTTAATTGTGGTTTCTCTACAAAAGTTACTTACACATTTAGACTGCAGAGTGCAGATAAACATATAGAAATGATCATAATTAAACACTTTTAAACCAAGAAAAAAAAACATCATCCTCCAAATTATTGATCAGATCATTGTAAATCAGGCATTGCGATCTTTTCATGGAGAGCCATTTTATAGTATGCTAAGAGTCTTTTAGAAATAAATATTGTCATTTAATTAAAAAGGCTTTTAGTGCGTTTCGCACCCATCTTCTATTTCAATTGTGAACATGTTCTCTTTTTATACATCGTAAAACAAACAAAAAACAAAAATTTTGCGGATTTTATAAAAATAAATTCGTGGATTTGAATATTTGAATATTCGATCATCCATAAACCTTCCCTGGGGACAAACAATTTGGGCAAGATCGGTTCAGCCGTTTTGACGTTAATTAGATACAAACACCCAGACAAGCAAAGTATATAAATAGATTGTCATTAATCAAATTACATGTTATTTTTTCAACATTCAACTTAAAAGTGTCAGCATCGTACCTTTATTCTTAACTATCTCAATTTTATGTTTTGGTAGCCATGGAAGTGTATAATTTCAAACTATAAAGAACTTATTTTTAGCTTCAGTTTTATAAGTAATTGGAAAAATTCTTATCGATTTTTAGCTTGAGAGTTTTAAATAACAGTGAACCTTAGATATTTCAAACTTTAACTATTTGATCTAACAGAATTCATAGTTTGAAATCTCTAATGTCTGGGGCAATTGTTTGCTAAGTTAAATATAGGAATTAGAAAATTATATGTAGTTTGTGGTAAAGAGTAGAAGAGAAGCAGAAATATGACAATTATTTATAGTAACTGACATTTTCTCTATTTCCCATTTTTAAGGGGCCTGGAGCATAAGTTTTAATTCTGTCTTTAATAGAGCATTTTTATGGAATATTGCATTGTATTTTACAATATTGAAGTTTATTAGAAATGTTTTTGTGTAGACATGTGCAGCAATGGTTGGCTCCCTAACCTCTGTACCCTACTGGTGTGCTCTGCTGGTGGAGCTGGCTGTCACCTATCTCATTCATCTATCTGTGGGGATATCCATGCTCATCTCAGTTTGCAGGCTTCTCATGATCATCAGGGTAATTATATACTTTTTTAAAATATAATTAGGGCAAGGCACGTCCACACTTGTTTTCATTAATTAACGTTTCTTCCGAATTGTGTTTGTTTGAAACTTCTTCCAATTCCATTTTCTTCAGTGCATTGGCATTGCCTGATTAAACGACTAACAAAAGAAAATATTCCATTTTATTCAACAAGGCTTAAGGATCAGAATTTAAAGAAAGGTGTTAATTGAGACGGAAATATTCTTCGTTATGATTTTTTTTATCGTTTTGTGTAGTTATAGTTGTAAATGCAAGCTTGTTTGACATCCAAAAGATGCAACAAAATGTTTTTTTGATGTTTGAAATTTTAAAAGTTTTAAAAATATCCAAAACTTTGCATTGTAAAAGGGGATTATAAAATCCGCAGGCCGGGTTCTGGAATCCTCGTTATGCATTATGCGTTTCTATCTAAAAGCAATAAATGTACTTCTAACGTCTAAAAGGAAAGGAAGATGAGTAGGTCCTCTCTGATTCCAGAATCCGACACTACTGACTAGCGGATTTGATAAACCTATTTCGGGGATTTTCATCTTCTACAACATCTTAATTGTTTTAGTTTGATGACATGATTGAGTTTGAACATGAAAGGTTCTCTCAGAGAGTGTTGGTTCTTCTCCTGGTCTTATTCACATTCATCCTAGCTTTCCCAGCATATGTTGTAGCTTCCAAAGGTTTGCCATGGTTAACCACATTTTTCTAAAATTAGAGATAGGCATCGTTTTTTTGAACAAACTAAATTTTTTTTAAACGAACGAAATTTTTCGTTAACAATGGTGTTGTTTAGAAAAAAATAAGAATCATTCTGAGAATAAAAGAAACAATATTTTTTTAAAAACTAAAAAACGATCATTCGCATGGATCATCCAGGCCGTTAATGAAAAAACGATCGAATTTTTACTAAAAGAACAAATGGTTTGAACAAACTATTGAAAAAAAGTTTTTATACTGATCGAACCGAACGACCGTTCAGTTGGAAAATTCTTAAAACGAACAAATGAATTTTTTGTTCTGAACGACTGAAAAAAATGAGCAAACGAATTGCAGAAAAGGGGAACGCGCCCATCTCTATTTAAAATACTTCAAAACGACAAGCAGCCTAATTGGGCCCAATTTGTGGGGCGTCCCCATACCACCCAAGGGAAGAGTTATGGCCATAATCAGAATTTTAAAAGTCTTCCTCCAATAAAATTTTCTTTTTTAAAAATTCTTCAATCAAAACAGGAAAATGAGAAATTTTTCCCTGTTGTCATTTTAAAATGTACAAAAAAGAAGGCGTGCTTCTAGATCTGCAACAAAATGCTAAGATTGTTTCTTTATAATTTTTTTTGCCAATGTTTACTCTATTCCTGCTATTAGCTTTAAATATATTTTCACTTCTTGCTTACAATATTCTTCCTAGTTTTGACTCTACTTCTATAAATAATTTAGACAAATTGTCAAATTTTTAATAAAAATATCTAAATCAGGAGAAGGGGGGGGGGTATGAAACATTGCAGACAAAGTGCGCAAAAATGTTGTAAACCCATAACCCCCCCCCCCCCCGGTCAACTAAAAGACTTACTGCTAAAAATATTGAACTTCTGGTTTGAGAATAAATCAATGACATTAACGTGCGAAAACCAACTCATAGATTAAGGACAGTTTTTATTGTTTTGGGCTCAGTAATAAGATATAGTTACAAAATATATAATTACAAAATATATGGTAACAAATCATATAATTACATCTTTATAATAAAATAAGAATTCACATATACAGGGTGTCCCATGAAACATGACATTTGGTAAATAGTTTTGAATGTCGTCTTAATGTCAGATATCAAAAGCTTTTAGCAGTTTATTTTGTTAAACAAAACTTTTGCTCAAATATATTTTCTTTGAAATTAATTTTACTATTATATGACTCCTATATAATATTTTTAATTATTGTCTTTGGTATTAAACAACTTCAAAAATTATGGAAGAAGACATTCTAAACTATTTACGAACTGTCATGTTTCGTGGGACACCCTGTATGTTGCGTATTGCCGACCAAACGGCTGGACTGACATTTTTTGTGGTCACTAATGGGTGGCCGAGGGGTGTTATAGGCAAAAAAACATTTTTTTCCACGGGCAACGCCGGACCCAATTCGAAGTTTTTTTTTCTAGAATTTTCTTCGGTTAGTATGATATCAGTACAAAAGATATAATTACACAAATTTTAGAAAGGCAAATGTTACAAAATATATAAAATGTTCTTTGGCCAATAGTTCATTATATTTAAACACAAAAGTAGTTCAATTGTGGTTCAGTTGAACTATTTTATGTTCATTTGAACTCCTAGCCGCAACGCTCGGCCCCCTAGCTGTAGTGGTCGACCCAGAAAACTGTCTAACCCTAACCTAACCATGAAATAATACAATTTCTTGTTCAAATGAACATGAAAATAGTTCAAACGTATGTATTATTTCAGGGTTAGGTTAGGCTAAGACACTTTCTGGGCTAGGGGACCGAGCGCTGCGGCTTGCTGTTCAAATGAACATAAAAAATAGTCTAAATAAAATATTTAAATGGACAAACAGTTGGTAATTTTCTCCTTTTATATCTTTAGTAACTTATATATTTCATAATTATATTTTATGTTACTGAGCCGTGTTTTTAGAATTTATTTCTCCTCAAGTTGCCTTCTACACTGGTTTGGCTGAATGGTTTGTAAAACCCAATCCCTACCTGGTTAGCTTTGGTGTTACATCTCTTGTTTGCATTCTTGCAACGGTAGGACCTTACTTCTACGGAAGATACTACCTCAAGAAATATCACTCCATCAGGAAAACCCTAAAAAATCTATATAATAAAGCTCTTCGTTCATATATGTAAATCTATTTCTGTTTAAACGCCTGGTCAGAATGGGCTGACTTTGTTTTGAGAAAACAAATGGGTACCCGAGTGGTAACACAGACTAAAAACTTTTTTTTTCAAAATTCAAAATTTTTTTTCTTCAAAAATCACTCCAGCGAGGGAGGGAATGCAACCTCCACCACACAGCTTACGAACCTCATTTTACCTTTTTACTGCAGTGACAGTCCCCCGAACAGTCTTCCGGTAATGATCTTCCATTTATAATCGTCAATTTCTACGTAAATAGATAATTTAAGCACGGTAGTAAAAGTTGAAGGGACTGAAAGCTTTACAAAATTTCAAATATCTCAATGAATTAAAAATCATCAAGTTCCGAACGTTAAAAGAGTTAGTAAGAATGAACGAAATGATCCCAATATTTCTTCCGAACCTCAAGGTTTGGAAGCAATATGCCGCAAATCAAAACAAACGCGATTTCGAACAAAATCTTCAAAGTTTTCGTTATTCTAGCCAAATCTTTGATTGTAAAAATTGTTTAAATCATCTAATTAGTCCCATTTTTAGAAATTCACGATTATAAATGGAAGATCATTCCAGGAAGACTGATTGGGGGAGGTTGTAAAGCCCTATGGGAACGAACACTGACGCAAATAGGTTAAATGAGGTTCGGAAGCTGTGCGGGGGAGGTTGCCTTTCCTCCCTACTCCAGTAAGCTTTTCACACATTCTTTTTTATTGTTTCGCTATCACTGAATGACATATTACTTTAAAAAAAGATTTTTATTTATTTTTGAGGGAATTTTTATTGCGACTTAATCGTTCAACATAGTAACTTTATCGACCTGGTATTGAAATTTAAATAAAAAAGTAAAACTTTCAGAAAAGCTTTTCCGAACTTAAGATACCCATTCCAATGACACAAATAGATATATTTAATATTCTACTGGGTTTATATCTCAGTTTTGAGTCAGAAAAGGTAGACTCAGCCAAGAACATGTTCACCATGAAATCCGTTATCAAAACAGTTTTTGTAACCATCATCCTCATTATTACACTACTAGTAAATCTACATCTAAACAGGTAGAGATGGGCATCGTTGCTTTGAACGAACGAAATTTTTAAGAACAAACAAAATTTTTCGTGGAAAGGTTGTAGTTCAGGAAAAAAATGAAAGATGGACGAACAAAATGGATCATTCAGAGAAATACAAAATTATCGGGTTTTAAGAAGGAACGAACGAAATAAAACCGAACGATTTTAAATCATTAAATATACTTGAAAAAACTATCGTTTTTTACTGAACAAACGAATTTCAAAACGATTTTTAAAAAAAACTATAGTCTTTTTACTGTACGAAATATTTTCTTGGAATTAAAAAAACAAACGAAAGTTTTTAACTGAATGAACGATTTTTAAAAAAAACTATCGTTCTTTTTACTGAACGAACGATGTACGAACGAAATGAAAAAAAATCGAATGTGTCCATCCCTATTCACAGGTTAACTGATCCAAGACGGTTGCCATACATTATGATGCTTAGTCAGACGGTGTTTTCTATGTATTTAGCCAACTTTGCGCACACAATCCTAAAATCAAAGAATTCTGGAGACACAAATTGTCCCAGAAAAAGACTAATTCACAGGAAACTTTTTTGAAAATCAAGTCACCTGTTTGACAGCTGAAACGAAATCAAGTAGGTATCCAGAATATTGCTTAAAGATACAACAATCGTGAGTGAATTGACTTCCCATTTTTAGAATGGATTGCCGATTCAAACCTTTGTCTGTGTACGCCCTTCGACCAAATAAACAATCTTGAAAAAACTATTCTAATTCTTGAAAGGAATGTTGTTAAATATATTCGGATATTCAGATTTAAGATTATTCTGAAAAAACTTTATTTACATATATATATATATATGTCTTGTCCTAATTAAACAAAAGATTATGAAAATAATACACAAAACATAACAGAGCAAAATGTGATGTTTAGAACGAAGAAAATAAACATTTAAAACATGAATCACATCGCTTTACAACAAAAATAGATTACGTTTCTGAGACTGTAGTTAAAACATTAGTTAAAATATAAAAAATACACTTTGGCAAATTTAAAGCGAGTATTTTTAGATTAATGTCAATTATTAAACTCGTAGATTAAAAAAATACAGATAGAACACTAGATATCATATTATCCAGATTTAGGAGTTTTAAGTTCACAACAATTCTGAGGCAGGGTTCAAAGGAGGTACGCGTTTGTCGCGTTAAATTACAATACAGATAGGGAGAATGCTGCGCGTAACTCCTTTGGGCTTCTGCCTCAGGGTTATTGTGAACGAAAAACCCCTAAATCTTGAAAAGACGTCAACTGGTGTTCTACCTGTATTGTTAATTAATCTATGAGTAAACTGTTCAAATTTTATCACATTATAATTATCAAAACTAAATCAACTATTGTAAAATTCGTTTTAATAAGAAATGGTGTTAGAATGTAAAATAGTTGCAGATTTTTTGCCTGAAACATTTTAACTACATCTTATCTTATCTTATCTAATGTTATTAATGAATTTTATTTGGCTTAAATACAATCCAACAAATGTATCCTATTATAATTTATTTTTAAAGAATAGGTTTACTCTAGTATGTTATTATTATCTTTCTAGTATTGCATCCTATTATAAATTATGATTATGTAAGAATAAGTTTGCCAGCTGAACCCTTGAACCCAAAGCTAATTGTCTTCTCTTGTTGCAATCCTTCAACACCTAAACCATAGATTAATAACATTTCAGATAGACCCCTAGATATCGTCTTTTTTAAGATTTAGGTTTTTTTTGTTCACAATAACCTTAGGCAGAAGCCTAAAGGAGTTACGAGCATGGCGCGTTGAATTTCAAGACAGAGAGAGAGCATGCGCGTAACTCCTTTGGATTTCTGCCTCAGGGTTATTGTGAACTGAAAACCCTTAAATCTTTAAAAGACGACATCTAATGTTCTATCTGTATAGTCAAAAATCTATGACCTAAACTATAAATAATATATCTACGATATTTTTAAAAAATCTGTAAATTGGGGGATTTGGAATTTTGTAATGTTTAAGGAGGGGTGGGAAGTTTTTTTTATATCTGACCTGTCTCGGGTATTCCATATTACAGGATACAGTTTTATATCTCAGCCTAGTAATATATTCATTAAACATGAAAATAAACATGAAATCAAAGCTTGAATTTTATTCTCAAAATTTTTTTCTTTCTTTAATCTTCTTCAATCTTGTTCAAATTTAGGAAAGATATTTTTTTTTGTAAAATTAATGAGGAGTTACTGATACGACTTGGGCGACTATTTAACGCCTCTAGTTTTGGTTTACGACCAAGAATTAATGTTAACGTAAACTTGTTCGTTGAATATAAAAAACATGCAAAATCACAATTTAAAATAATTTTACTTCAGTTTAATATGAGAGTAAACAGAAAACAGTGGAATGATACTGACTATTATTCTTTTAGTTATGAAATTAATATTTCTAATGGCATAGCAAGCAATTAAAACATTCGAAAATTACATAATTGTGATCAAAAGTAAGAATAGAGACTACAATCATTTAAAGTTTTACGGTATCTGAGACTAGGCTCTGGAGCTCTCAGTTTACACTACCTGAGACTAGGCTCTGGAGCTCTAAGTTTACACTACCTGAGATTAGGCTCTGGAGCTCTAAATTTACACTACCTGAGACTAGGCTATGGAGTTCTAAGTTTACACTACCTGAGACTAGGCTATGGAGTTCTAAGTTTACACTACCTGAGACTAGGCTCTGGAGCTCTAAGATTACACTACCTGAGACTAGGCTCTGGAGCTCTAAGTTTACACTACCTGAGACTAGGCTCTGGAGCTCTAAG